GTAGTAGGTGTAAGTAGTTACGTAGTAGAGAGAGAGAGAGAGAGAGAGAGAGAGAGAGAGAGAGAGAGAGAGAGAGAGAGAGAGAGCGAACGAATGATGGAATTTCATCGGGAGTACAAAGACCCTTTCACGATGGAAAGTGCTCCGGTAAATTTAATCATCGACCAACAAAAATCGCAATCTCTTCCAAGTGTCGTGTATACGTGCGCACAGCGCGCGAGGCGCAAGTTGGAACAATGTTGGTTCCAAGCTTGGCGAAGGAAGAGCGTAGCGCAAACAGTGGCTCCCGAGCATTCGCTGGTTCACGCCTGTGAAACGAAAAAAAGAAAGGATCGTCGAGTGTTTTCCGATAGTGGTAGACGAGAAGGGGTACACGAGCAAGGAGGTCCGTGTTCCGGAAACGGACGACTAATTGGTTTCTTTTTCTTCTTCCTCGGCCGAAAGTTAAACCCGACTCGAGCACCCTTCTGCTCCCTTCCGGTAGAATCCTTCTCTCTCTTTCCATTCCACCGTCTCTGTCGCTATTTTTAATTCGTTCTATTAACCCCGCCACTCGACCAAACGAAAGCTCCAATTAGATCCACCAACTCCTCTTCTATCCTCTCCTTCGATATTATTTTAGGAGTCGTCGCCAGGTTTCTAAGTGCCGCTTAGATTTCCTTTCTTCTCCGATTCTTTTGTGTTTATTCTCGATTTGATCGATTATTTAGGATTACCGGTTACGATAATAATAAATCGACCGAGCGAACGTATCGATTCGATTCGATTATTGAAGTAAGAGAATTGGGTATTGAGCCAAGTTGAAAAGGTAGGGCGATAGTCGAAAATTTCGAATAAAGTTAAACTTTCTAAGTAATTACTTAAATTAAAACGGACGGATAACATTTATTCATACGTTGATTTTCCTTTTTGGCCATTATCATCAATTATCATCGAGGTAATTTTGCTCGTTAAATTTTTGCTTGTACTTCGTGTCTCGGAATTGTTTATAGTCGCATAATAATAGAAAAGAATATTTGTTGTTGGTCAACGAACAACAATTCTATTAACTAATGGGAGAGAGAGGGAGGGGAGAAAAAAAACTGGGATCCTAGCGGAAATCGACGCCGGTGGAAAACGTTCGGAGGTTCGTTCGAGGAGTTGCGATCTCCGAGGCCAGAGGTCCTCCTACTCCCATTCATTATTCATGAGAACCAGCCGTGTCTCGTTTCCTATCCCGAGTACGTGAGCTTCCGCCACCACCGCCGTTCTTTCGCTCCGCAAAACTCCATAGTTCGTTCCACGATGGGATGTCCACGAAAATTTCCTTAAACCGAACCGTCCCGTTTAACGATCCCTCCGTTCTATTTCAATTATTAATAGGAGGACGAGAGAAATTGTTTCGCCCCGTGAAAGAAGAACACAGAAGTTGTATAATAAATATTAAACATATCCAGTTAATGTTCTCTTCTTGTCCTTTGCGAATTTTTATTTATTTCCTTCTTTTGATACGCACGCGGAAGAAAGGATAAGAAACGTATTCAAACGTATGTAGCTTAATCCTGTCTGGAAGATGGTCGTGCTTAAAGTCTTTTGATAACTCGAGTACATTTCTGACGATTCTAACGCAATGATGTTTCATTGTTTTGAGCCAGAAGCGAAGTATCGTACAAGCAAATACAGATATTTCGTTATTGTATTCTGTGAAAGAGAATGTCGTGTGTTAAGTCTTCTCACTGTACTCGCGATAACTCGAGAGTTTCATTTCTGGGATTCTAACGCAATGATCGTCCATTGTTTTCGCCTCGGTTTCAAGCGCGTAGAAAGCAATTATTTTTCTTACTGCGCACGCATTTCTCGTACGATGCATCGAAGAGTTTAGAACGCCGTTGAATACCTATTCCTCTCCAATTCGAGCATCGATTCTCGACATATCTCAAAATTATATAATAATATTTTGTTGTTGTATTCTTTAGAAGATCGTTATGATAACTCGAGCGCATTTCTGGAATTTTGATAATGATGATGATTTCGTATAGCAAACGATATATATATATTTCGTTATCTTGGGCAAAGATTTTAGAATGGCGAAGAAACGGCAAAGAAAATGGTTCCACTTTGGTGGATCCAAAATACTTCGAATATTAGGCATCGATTCTTTAGAGATTCACATTCCGAAAATGAGAAAACTTTCGAATAATGTAACTCTAGAAATTTGGCTTCAATTTCTCCAAAATGGAAAAATCACGTGTACGATTTCAATCCTCTCCTCCTTGGTTAAGGGAAATAATAGGTTCGTGTTCGGATTTATTGCGCTCGTAGGCAGCATCTGGCACTGAACTTTCTGCCCGCAACATTCACTTCATCCACGGTCGATCCTCGTGTGTGTGTGTCGCGGCGCTCCTTGGATACGCTTCCGTATATCGCGAGTGGAAAAGTTTCCGTTTGTGTTGCGCAACGTTTCATTACCGGGAGAGAATTACGGTCGCGCGATCGGTTTCTCGCTCGGTTAATATCGTTCTCGAAATTTCTCTTTGAACCCAAGATCATCCTCAATGTACACACCGCTAACTTCTTACTTGGAGAACGCGTAACGTTGTTTTACGCGTGATGAGATACTTTACAACAGAGATAATATCGTTCTCGATCTTATATTGATTTCGACACGATATCAATTGGACAATTGACGTTAAATTTCGCGAAAATCAATCAAAACGAAACGAGTCTGTGGTCGCGTTGAAGGAACTCACTTCTTCGTTCTTTTGCGTATAAATCGCGATAAGGGTAAAGGTTAGGCTGGATTTACTTGAAATTATTTATGAAACGAACAATCCTTCCTGTCCCATTTCTTCCACTCAATTTATCCACATTTTTCTTTGATCTCCGCGCATTCGTTATACCCGTCCAGCCTCAAAGATTCGCTTTAACGAAACTTGCACCCTTTTTCCACACCGTGCTCGTATATTTTATACATAAGTTAAATAAATAAAATTATTATTCCGATTGGATGTGAGAGTTTGAATCGAAAACACTTCTCTACAAAAGGTAGATTCGAAGAAAAAACCCATCAACCGTGTTGGCCGAACGAGCTCGTTCGCCGTCCCCCGGATTCCGCATACATTCCCTCACTTTGGATTTTCTATTCCACTTTCTACTCCATTCTATTCCAGTAGAATATAAGATAAAAGTTTCAAAAGAGAAAAATTCATATAGCGATGAAAACAACGCGAACATCGATTTTCTCTCTCCGGAGATCCATTAAGAGCATCGAGAAGATATTCTTTGCATACGCGTGTACTTTGCTCGCCGTAGATATGGACCCGTAGATTATATATTCTCAACGGAGGACAGTCGACTCGCATCGTGGTTGATTCGAACGCGCCAATAGTTCAGCAAGGGCCACGCGAGAATCGACCGGTGTAGCCTCGACTTCACCGATTACGGGAGGAGCAATACTCGATACTGCTACAACCAGGAGGGGAGGGAGGGGAGAGGTAATTGGGCCAACGACGTGCATCCTCCATCTCCTCGTCCTCTGCGAATTCGAGTTCGAAGTCATCGAGCCGTTTCCACGAACGTTTAATACGAAGAATCGCGAAGAAATTCCGTGCTTGTGGACTTTTAAAACGGGGGGAGGGGAAAATTATGTGGGGGAAGATAAGAGGGATTTTGGAGAGAGGGAGGGGAAGGGGCGTGCACGGTTGGTTCGTTCATAACCGGTCGCAGCGGTCGTTAAAATTTTACGAGGAGGAATAGGCGCGCATTCGATGGCCCGTTGTTACAGCAATTGGAACACGATTCGCGAAACGATTTCTCCTTCGAAAGATGGCCGAGAGATGGCCAATTTTATCCAACCATCTCGAGAAGATCTTTCGATAAAGATGCTGCCTTCTCGGATCCTCGATCTTCTCTCCGATCTTTTCCCGAGACGAGACGCGTTTCCAGATCGTATCGTGGCTTTGCATTCCCCTGGAACGACGCTCGCAAGTGTGCTTCGGCTGTATTTTTATCCCTGGAACGTTTACCTCTAAGATTCTTCCAAGGGGATGATAATTTTGTACACCCTTCGTTGATAAAAAAAAAACGGCGCGGGCAAAGTGTTCAAAGATCCCAAATTCGATGAAATTGCAGAGGATTACCAACGACGATAAGAAGAATTGAATCGACGAATCGAGAATCTCGAGATTCGAAGGATGGGGACGGAGAGTTTCAATCGAATTTCTTGGAATCGAAGTGAAATAATAAACAAAGCATTGTATTGTACAGAACGAATACGTTTATATACACGCAAAACTTTGTATCTTGCGTATTTACGCGTGAATTGGGTGACCGGTGTTTCCATTTCTGAACGCGACACAGCGAGTAGATAAGCGTAGTAGAACAAAGGCATCGTCACATACAAAACACATTATTCGCATTTCCTTTATTACATACGTTCTTTCTCTACGTTCTTTATTCTATAATCAAACCTATCATTCCTCGATAAAGCACAACTCCGACTGGAATCGAATGGAAAAATAGTAGGAAAGATGAATGGTACAAACAAAAATTCGAGAAGTGATTGTGAATTTCACAGTTTGTAACCGGCGCAAAATTCACACGACGCGGAGGATCGCGCGAAGACAATGTCTGCTTATCGGATGCCTCGAATACGTTCCTCGAGGAACGAAGCTGGCCGCGATTAAACGAATAGCTAGTAAATTTAATATATAACCCCCCGCTTTATGAGCTCTACACGAGTAGAGAGGGAGGACAAATTGAATGGATCCGCGTTTGATCGCGTGGATTGGCCGTGGGCCAAATCACCCTGAACGCTCGAAATCCAGGACGAAACCCGCCCCTTGAATATTTCAAGGGAACCGAACGATCTTCGAGGGGGATGCATGCTCTTTTCCTCGCGCGCCACCACCAAGCGACTGCCAAGACTTTGGTTTTTTCTTTTTTCTTTTTTTTTTTTTTTCGGAAGGGATTAAAAGCGGATCGCACGAAAAGTTGGCCTCTGGGAGGGGGTTGGCGTCGAGGGGGTTGAGCGAGCAAAACTCGCGCCTAAGAAACTTTTCAGACACCACCCTTCCCTGCGATCCCGGGGAAATTCGAATTTTCGCGCAACTCCGATCTTTCTGGGAGGGAGAAAAGCAGGGTTGGAGATTATTTTCCCTCCTTAATCCCTTCGTTTCGTTTCGCAGCTCGTGAGCCTCGTTTCGCGAGTTCGCAATTGTTGTGGAGACTCGAATCACGGGCGCAAATTATGGCTCGAAGTAAATGGCTCATGGTTGGATCGATGGATTGGTGGACGCGCATTCTGATTATAATTAACATTTCAAGGGACGCGATTTGTATTTCGGATCCAATCTCCGACTCCGCATTAGGAGGGGAAACCGTCGTTTTAACCGTCGTTCGAAGAAAAGGATTTGATATTTATTATTAATTTCCGTCCCGTTGATTCTCCCCGCTTTTCGAGGCGACGACACTTTTCCAAACGCGTCCTCGACGCGGCGACGGATTTGCCGAGCGTACGGCGAGTTATGCGAGCTTTTGCCGTAAAATCGGCTTAACGCCTGCCGCGATAAAGCCACCCTCCTCAAGAAGAGGAAAAGAGGGGAAAAGGCGAGCGGAATATCGCGTCTTCTCCATGATGGATCGTCGTCGTCGTCGTCGTCGTCGTCGTCATCGATTGCGCGACTCTGATCTTTCTCTCCTTTTTTTTTTATTATTAGCTTCGTCCCGCCGAACGAACGTTCCACGGGAATCGACGAGGGAAGAGTCGGAGTTTCTTCTCGCGAAACTCGGGAATTCAAACGATGCAGCGTGGGATACAAAGGATATCCCGAAATGAAGAAAAGTGGCAGAACACGGATGCGGGCACGAGCCATATTTTAAAGATAATGCTGATCGTTGGAAGGAAATCACGATCGGCAACGATTCTGTTCGATTCCCGGTATCGGCGTTTCATCCGACATCGACATCGGCGTACGGGATTAAAGTGGTATATAAGGGGGATATAAGAGGATGGGAGGAGAGGGAGGGCTTGAACTTTTAACGAGTCCAATAATTCGGAAGAATCCATTCGTTTCGAGTATCTTAATCTCTCTTTGATGCTACGAGAAATATCTCTTTAGAGAAAATTCCTTGGAGGGGTGGAAATGTTAAACTTGGAAACTTTCTCTCCCCCTCCCTTTCTTCCCCGTCAGAGTATCGTGTGCATTGTGTACGATTCGTGGATTTATTGACAAGTGAGAAAAGTTGGAGAGTTTGGTAAAATCTCTTCTCACGCATATACATATACATATATATATATTCTCGATAACAACCGACAGTTCTAGAAATTGAGTGTTGAAAAATCGTTGCAAGAATTTCGAATTTCTGTCGCGACTCGTTCCGTTATTCGAGAGAGGACAAACAGAGACGTAAAGAGGCAGCCATAAACCTTCTCCTTCCCCTATACGGACGGTGCTGTATTTGCTCGTGCAAGATCGTTCGAACACGTCGGACGCAACATCGGTTTAGACGAGATTTCTGCGAATCCGGAGGCGAATCCGCGGCTAACGATGAGCGATCGAGCGGACAGAGGTTAATGCGGCGTGCAGGCCTCCAATATAAATTTGCGTTTACCCTGTTTATTACACGAGTATTTTATCGAGTTCTGTCACACGCAGCCACGGCCAGATACAAGGGGCAAACGATAAATCTTACGGCTCCCGACCGGGACAGCCATAAAGATTTTTCTCTTTGCGCCCTACCCCTCCCCATCCCCTTGCACACGGGGTAATAGACGTTTGATTAACACGTTCTCGCTCCTTACGATTCGCGTCTAAAGTTTACGCCTTCCTCTGAATTCATCCAATTACGCTTGATTCGCTTCTTGAGAGTTGTAAGTTAAGAGTAACTTATCATTTCTTCAAAGGTCAAAGGTGTGATAAAAGAATATATATATATATATAGATTGTCATTCATTTTTGAAACGGATCTCTTTCCATTTTTATATTTTTATTCTTTTCGATCGAATTTGTTTATCGACCTATTCAAATATTAGATCGTATCCTATGAATAGACGACGATCAACCCCAACTTTACTATATTTTGTTCAGTATATTTTCACGTCGTCTCTTTGTGTAATAAGTTCTTTTTCGCGTTGGTTTAACTGTTTTTTTTTTTTTTTCGAAGCGCGTCGAAATATCGGGTTAGCTTTCGAAGAAGATTCCACTATCGATGAGAGGACGTGGGTTCGATGATGGAAATGAGAATCTTGAGAATGAGACCGATAACCATATTGAAGAAAGATAAGTTGGAAAGCCAAAGTGGAAGCAGAGTTGGACAGATTTTTCAGATATTTGGGTGCGAAGTGAAAAAATTGGAAAAGAAAGATCAAAGGTGAAAGTTCATTTTTGAGTAGAATTATGATCCGTGATGAGAAACGGATCCGGCCAATGGTTGGACGTCAATGAAAATCCTAAACAAACGTCGAAACCATGGCTGTGTAATGGCCAGTAAAGCGAATGAAATTCGTTCTTCTCTGAAACGAGAAATTGATCAAGAAACAAGCCGCGTTAGTCGATGGATCCTTAATCCATCACCAGATATTTCACTCGATCGATCGTCACTCGTTTACAATTGTTTTTAAGAATAAATATATTCGACGTTCGAGAAGCTATGATCGAAGAATTTCTTCGCGCTAAAACCATAAAGTTTTATAAAAATCGGAGGCGCCAAAACTTTTTAATAAAAAATTAACGTTCACGCCGAAATATCTACAAATAAATAAATAAACTTCATATCGCAACGAATATTCAGTAATATTTATTTTTATTTTTCTTACATTTTTATACATTCATTTAATTCGTATTAAAAAATTATCCGGAGCGGAAGATTTTAAAAATGGCGCCTTTGCAAATGCTTCTCTAATGTTTCTCTAATACAAAAAAATGCAAATGTTTCTCTAATACAAAAAAAAAAAAAAAAAAACGAATTGTTAGCTCAAATTTAAACGTCACTCGCGGCTAAAGTGTCAACTGAAGCGCATCGACGAGGTGTGATATAGTTTTTTTTAGGCAGACGTAGTAGCACAAAGGTTGGAAACCGTGGATCGAAAATATATCGTTTCTCTTTCGATCAACAAAACCGACAATTTCATACGATACTGATATATATATATCATATATTATGGGGAATAATTATAGTCTTCGAAGGGTTAAAATTACCTACCCCTTTTTTTACTTTTCCAAAGCACAGCATTGATAATACGAGCTACGTTTTTAATCACTTCAACTCCCGTATTCGGATGCTGGTTGAACGAGGCCAGTGTGGCCGACGTAAACGTGGTTTCGTTAATGCCGATACGTCGGGGTTGCGCGTCGGTTAATAGGGTTAATAGGGTGCAGGGAAACCAGCGTGGAAGGGAAACTCGGCCAGTGGCCGAGCGTGCACACCGCCTCTCCGGTCCCCTTTTATTTATCCGCTGCTCTCAAATTGGCCCGTACGCACTCCATCGACAATTTTGGCGCAATTTTCAAATCGATGCTCCTTTTCCTCCCCTCCCCCCACTTTTCATCGATTTTTCACTTCGTAAACGCGTGAAAACGTGTTCGAATCGGAGTGGAGGGAGTGGATTCGCCTGTTAAAAATTGTTGCTCGTCAAACTCTGTTCTGGATAATTCTCGCGATTTTTTTCGTTCCAGATCGAGGAAGAAAGAATTGGGAAGGGAAATCGAGAGAAAAAGTGAATACCGGTTTGTTCAGCCTCGAGGACTATTGTCGTGGGCGACGTATATGTTTGCTTTTTTCATTCTTCACAACCGACCATCCGTCTCAACCGCGTAGAAATTATTCTTACGTGGACTAGTTCTTCCCAAGCGACTCTATTGTTTCATTTTTGCGGTTATTCTTGCGTTGAATTTCAGAGAAACTCACTTTCATCTTCGATATAAAAATTTCTTCTCATATTTAGAGGAACTCTTTTGCGACATCGCGCTCGATTTTTCTTTCTCGCGGTTTTCATTCAGAGGAGTTCTTTCTTTCTTTCTTTTTTCTTTCTTTTTTTAGGGAGAATACGACGACGAGGCTGGGATATAATTGTATCTAATTACAAGCGTGTTTCGCGTATGCAAATGGCGATGTTTAGTTCGGGGTTGGCATAATGCGCCAATTCCACTATCAAAATGGGAGGTCGGTGAGACGTATAGGGGCCGCGTGAATCGAGGCGACATATATATATACAAAGGGACGAGATGTTTGAGCCTCTGTCGCGTGTTTGTGTACGGGGCAGATAAGACACGGTTAATTTGGTCGAAGGGCGTGCAGGACCACCATATCAGGTTTCACGAGCCGTTTGTCGACTCTGCGAAATCTAACTAAATAATTCGATAATTATACTTTTACCACGATTCATTTACAATGGAAAGCCTCCACCTGAAATATCGCGTCTAATATTAATACGAAAAACCAAAGAAATGTCTACCGAATTTTAATCGAACGTATTCGTCCAAATCTCATCCAACGGATTCAGATCGTTCGCGAAAAATTCTCAACCGATTCACACACTTATGCGCATTGGGATACAACCACCGCGAAATGAAATTCCTCTTCCGCCGGGCTGGTAATTGGATTTTCGGCTTCCGATCTCGGACACAGAAAAAGAAGAAAGAAGAAGAAGAAGAAGAAGAAAAAAAGGATCGTATCGAGGCGGATCACGCTCCAATTCCTAGCTCGCTCGACTTTTTCGTTGTTACACTACGCTCCTAGTGATACAGCGCCACCCTCTCCCCTTCCGTCCGTTAATTAATCTTGGAACAAAGAACGATCCCTCGAGACGATTCCTCGAGCTTTCAACGGGGAGGGTGAATCGGTGAACTATCGAGCAGGCGGACAGCTGACGAGATCCTCCTCCGCCGCTGGCAACGGACCCTTTTTAAAAACCCCCCTTTAAAGGTCCGATATTTCCCGATCCGCGCCGATAATAACACGGACGAAGGCGGGAACATGGCGGGAGATAGAGTCGTGTTAATTTTAATAATTACGGAACGATCGATTCTTCGGATCGCAGTGGTTGATCGAATTCGCCATGTAAAATGCATCTCCTCAGCTGCCGTCTTAAAAGATATAAATTGCTACCCGTCGAGACTATTTTCGCGAGACTGCGTTCTCTTTCTCTCTGATCGTTTTGAATTTGTTTCAGAAGAGGACAAAAAGGGGGGTCGATGAATATCGAACAATTGGAGGAGTATTTTTGTAAAATAGGAATTTTATAGGAAAGATTAAGAGCGTGTTTCGAGCGTACGAGGATAAAAATTTCGTTATTATTTTCTATCGATATCTATCGATTGCACGTAGGGTAGGAAAGGAGGATTGAGTAATGACGCGCGATTGCGCGTAATGGGAAGTGAATACCTCCTTGTCCGCGCGATCAAGGCGCATATTCATCGCGACGTATCCATTTTTCCTTGGTGAAAAGGGGGCAATCGTCGAGTCTGTTTACGCGTCTAAACCGCATTTTCCACGATGGAAGATCATTCGATCACGATTCTCGAGCGTATTCGAGTATTTTTCCTTGCAACGACGGTCGTTAAAAGGACTATCGTTCCGTGAAAAGCGTGTTCGACGGAGCGGTCGAACAAGGAGGGCTCGAGGAGGAAAAAATTTACCCCTGGCCTCGACCCTGCGTATTTTTGGAATTTCCATCCCCGCGTGAAATGTCCTTTCTTTGTCTCTTCGTCGAGAGGAACTTGTTTTCTTATAGAAAGATTTATTTATCTTTTCTATTCTTTTTCTTCCTCGTTTCTGACTCGAGATCCTCGTTAATGCTTGGTCAAATATACTATGCTCTTTTAGGAGAGCAGGCGTTCCACGCTCCCGGCGCAGAGAACGAAACGCCGTTTACGTATTCTATTCCGGCATCTCCACGATTCGACGTGGGTGTCTATCCATTACAGGAAAGCGGGACAAAGCGTTAACGTGGCGTCGTTAAACCTCTCTCTTTCTTACAGGATCAGTCGTAAAAGAGAAGGCCGAGTTCCGGGTTCGAGAGGCGCGTGATTCCTACTCTTTTATGTCGT